CAGACTCAGCCCTAGCTTCTCAGGGGACCTGCCTTAGCCCACTCAGCCTCCTTTGAGCTTCTGCCTTCATCGGAGGTGATTCTGGGGTTTGCATCATGACCTGTTTTACTTACTTCCCCATTGTTCCGTAATCATCACCCCAAAGCTTAACATCTTAAAACAATGAACACTTACAGTCTCACCTGGTTTCTGAGGGGTGGGTATTCAGGAACATCTTAGCTACAAGATTCAAGTCTCTCATGAGGTTCCAGCCAAAATGTTGCCCAGTGTGGCAGTCTCCTGAGGGCTTGGCTGACTGGAGGATCCCAGTGAGGCACAGTCACTCACATGGCTGCTGGCTGGTGGCCTGGGTTCCTCACCTCCCTGTAGGGGCTGGTCATGATATGAAACCAGCCAGCTTTCCCTGGAATACATGGTCAGGGAGAGAGAGTCCCCAAGACTAAAGCTACACGGTCTTTTCTATCCTAATGTCAGAACTGACAAATCATCCCTCTGCCATATTCTCTCTGACAAGGGTCACACAGATCAACCCTTGTACAATGTGGGAAGGAATACATAAGGGTGTCAATATCAGAAGGTGTGGATCCTGGGGGGCCCCACCAATAGTCTGTCCTAGAACTTATCCCACTGGCTGGCATCATTGTCTGTCTCCTGCGGTGTCTTAGGTCCGAATCTTGTCCATCTTTGTCTCCCTGCTGCCAACACGGTGCTTGCTGGAGTAATCGTTATTCGTTGATTGTTGAATGAAGTGATAAATGAATGAACGAGTTCCCTAGTTATCTCATCAGGACTATTGTCTATTTGAATTTCATTTTCCATTACAAAAATAATATATACTTATTATTTAAAAAAAGCTAGGAAATTACTCAAGGTTGTAAATCGAAAAATAAGTTTTCATTCTTGTTGCCTTGTATCCAGTCTTAGTCCTTAGAGAAGATAACCATTAACTTTCCTGAGGTATCTCTTCAGAAATTTTCTAAAATAACCAATAGAGTTATTTTTAGGTATCGTATGAAAAAAATATAGGTAAAAGTGCTTTGCCTGTGTTGAAGACCATGGGCGCTGTGATTCTTGGTAGGCTCAGACTGCTGGGTTTGACCTTGAGGGTTCCACCAGTGACCTTTCCTGCCATCTCTTAGGATGGGAATCCCTCCTCAACAGCCACAGTGGGCATGATATTGTTACACAGTTAGATTATTTTGCATTATTTTATTAGAAGTGATGATCCAAAGTATCTCAATACATAAAACCTCTTCCATATCCTAGATGATTTACTCAGCACACCTCCCCAGAAGTGGAATTATTGGGTCAAAGACTTTGAACGTTTTTTATGAGGGTCACCAGCTGCTTCAGGGTTCCTACCTACACAGTAAATCCTTTTTCATCAGCCTTTCTCTGCGGACCTTTCTCCTTTGCTGTCAGGATTCATAGTGGCTCATAAGCACATTCCACTCTCGTGAATTTGAACAGAAGGGGATCTCATGGAGGAATATTAATTATTAAGAAACTCAGGAGTATTTGGGAGGGCCAGAGAACCTGGCTGGGATGCTACACAGCCAGGGCTGATGTAGTCGGACAAAAATGCCCAACAGCACCACCAGATATTTCTAGGGGAAACATCACTGCTGAGATGATTTGCCGTTTGTCCCTGATAGCTCTGGGGACTGGGTGTCAGAAGAACCTGTTCTTCCAACACTGTTCTTGCCCCAAATTCCCATTTCCCCCTGTTTGGTTGTTGCCAGATATGCGTCAGGTCCACATACATGGGAGTGGAAGCTACTTGGTCACCTACCTGTTCCCTTCATGCCAGGGATTCTGGGAAATGTAGCATTTTGTCCAGGAAAGTACAGAATCTCCATGTTGGTTTGTCCTGTTCAGTATCTGTTGGTGACACTTTTTTCTCTGATATCTCCAGGCCCCACTTCTCCTCTCCCTGTTGGTTTAGCTTGTTAGAGCTGCTGGACAGGACAGCTTAAACAGATTTGTTTTCTCAGAGTTCTGGAGGCTGGGGTCGAGTCAGGCTGTCAGGCTTCTCCTGAGGCCTCTCTCCTCAGCTTGCAGATGGGCGACTTCCTGCTGTAGGCTCGCATGGTCTTTTTCCTCTGTGCATATGCCTCCCCGATGTCTTTCTGTATGTCTAACTGTCCTTTTCTTATAAGGACCCCAGTCAGCTTGGGTTAGGGCCCACTTAATGACCTCATTTTACCCTAATCACCTCTTAAAAGCCCTATCTCGACATGCAGTCAATACTGGGAGTTAGGGCTTTAATACACACATGTGTGTGCATGAGGGCAGACACAATGGAGCCCATAATGCCTGTGTTTTAAGGTTTAAGACGATTTTGCCGTCTTCCCTTCTCCACTTCAACCTGCCCCCATTCCATGCACGAGGGTTGCATTCTCCCCATACACAACCTTTTGAGCCAGCCATTTGCTGCTAGTGCTCCGGGAGCCCCTTAGGAGGGAGTCATTGAGAAAAAGGACCCGAGTCTGGGCCACGTGGAGAGCAGTAGAGAACCCCAGCTGTTGAGAGGCCAGAGCCAAGTCTTTTTTGTTTCTTTAAACATGTCTGCCCATGTCGAGAGCAGCTGCCAGCCGTCATGTTACATGTCAGTCCTAAGTACGGGACAGAGTGGAGACAGCAAAACGTGAAAGGCAACTTGTCTACGAGAGTTGTCTCCTGTGAACAGCCCAATTGCCACACAGTGTGACAGCACTTAGACCTGTTCATAAACTTGTCAAATTAGCATGGCTCGAAGTTTTATTTCGCTGCCACAGTAACTTCTGTTTGGGCACTGCCCAGTGCTTGCTCTGTCAACTCCTAGAGTTTTTGGTTCCCTAACAAGCACTCAGCACACACAGAGCAATCATAATACCACAGATATGCGAACTCAAGGAGCCTTTGAAATAAATAAATGCCAGGAAATATAAGGAAAGGCATGAATTGGGGAAGGGTTCTCTGATTCCGATAAAGCACACCTCTCTTAGAATCCAGTCCTTATCAGGCTTTGCTCTGGGAAATAGGCCAGGAAAGGTGCTTTCATGAGTGTGTACTAAACCCATTCCTTTCTGATTCCTCAGTAGACATTCCCTGATCTGTTGGTCTGTTTAAGAAATAAGCTCTTTAGGGGCACCTGGGTGGCTCACTCGTTAAGCATCTGCCTCCGGCTCAGGTCATGATCCCAAAGTCCTGGGATAGAGCCCCGTGTCAGGCTCCCTGCTAGGTGGGGAGCCTGCTTCTCCCTCTTCCACTCCCCCTGCTTGAGTTCCCTCTCTTGCTGTGTCTCTCTCTGTCAAATAAATAAATAAAATCGTAAAAAGAAAAAAAAAAAAAGTCTCCTTAGGGGCGCCCAGGTGGCTCAGTTGGCTACGCATCTGCCTTTGGCTCAGGTCATGCTCTGATCTCAGAGTCCTTGGATGGAGTCCCACATCAGGCTCCCTGCTCAGTGGGGAGCCTGCTTCTCCCTTGCATGTGTTCGATCTGTCTCAAAAAGAAAAAAAAAAATCTAAAAAAAAAAAAAAAGAAAGAAAAAGAAATAGGCTCTTTGCCTTTACCTATCCTGACTATGCTATGCATTGGCTCTATGACTCACCTGAGGAACCACATCCCCCCCTGCAACCCCCCCGCCCCCGCCTCAAATATCCTGCCTTTTAGGCCTGTCAGACCAGGCTTAGCAAGATTCTTAGGGTTCTTAGCGCTGGTAGACTGTGGCTTCAACTCTACAAATTGCTTACATCCTTTGACTAGTAATATTCTTTCTACGAATGTATCCTAAGGAGGGGAGATCTGAGATGCAGATCAGAATTTATGTGCAAGGCTATTCATTGCAGAATTGTTCATAACACTGAGAAAACAAAACAACCTCAGCTACACACAATAGGAGATTGATAAGTAGAGGTTGCATCTACCTAGTGGTTATTAAAAAAAACATGTTTTAAAGAAATATATTGGTGTTGAGAAGATGTTCAGCTCTGCGAAGCTCAACAAAACAAAAGCTAGATAACAAAACTATATGTACCATGGTCTTGGGGCGCCTGGGTGGCTCAGTGGGTTAAAGCCTCTGCCTTCGGCTCAGGTCATGATCCCAGGGTCCTGGGATCGAGCCCCGAATCAGGCTCTCTGCTCAGCAGGGAGCCTGCTTCCCTTCCTCTCTCTGCCTGCCTCTCTGCCTACCTGTGATCTCTGTCAAATAAATAAATAAAATCTTAAAAAAAAAAAAAAATAAAATATATGTACCATGGTCTTGAATTTTTTAAAACCCAGAAAGTAAAAACTAAGAGGAAAAAAGACTATAAGAAAATACAAAGTGTTAACAATGGCTATCTCCTAGTGGTAGACTCGCTCTTCTGTATATTTTGTAGTTTCTTTCAAGGCTTATAATCACAAAAAAGGCCAACTGGGAACTGGAAGGTCAATGCCAAGGGTTTTTGTTACATACTCAAAAAAGATGACAGGGAGATCCAGACAGATAATGCCTTTTTCATGAAAATGAAAATAAAAGATATGATTTTGAACTGGATCCTTTGGCTAATACGGACATTATTGGGGCAATTGGTGAAACTTGGTTGGGGGTTGTAGAACTGATGAAAATAACATATTAATGGAAATTTCCTGACATTGATGGTTGCATTATGGATGTGTTGGAAATATTCCCCCTTCCCTGTTTTGTAGGAGATACACAATGAAATATTCGGAAGTGATGGAGCATCATGTTAACAATTTACCCGTAAATTATTCTGTAAAAAAGTTCTTTAATACTATTCTTCAGCTTTTCTCTGAATTGAAATTATTTTTTTAAGATTTTATTTATTTATTTGAGAGGGGGGGAATAGAGGCAGAGCATGAGTGGGGGCAAGAAGGCAGAGGGAGAGGGAGAAGCAGACTTTCTGCTGAGCAAGGAACCTGACTCAGGACTTGATCCCAGGATCCTAAGATCATGATCTGAGCCAAAGGCAGAGGATCAATTGACTGAGCCACCCAGGTGCCTCTAAATTGAAATTATTTTAAAATTAAAAATATAAAATGAGTTTTTTGGTTTTGTTTTAAAAAGATAATGCTGTCCCCATTTTTGAACAGTTGATTCCATGGCACAGTTGGGCTCCCTGGGTCATGTGACACTTCTCGCTGAACTCAGTGTTGTCCTCTCAGTCACCTCACTGCAGGGCTCTCCTGTTCGTCCTCAGGGTCACATTGTCCACAACTGGAAGGCGCGATGGTTCATCCTTCGGCAGAACACACTGCTGTACTACAAGCTTGAGGGGGGTCGGAAGGTGACCCCTCCCAAGGGCCAGATCCTTTTGGATGGCTGCACCATCACCTGCCCCTGCCTGGAGTATGAAAACCGACCTGTAAGTGAAGGCCCCTGCTTCCCGGCTCCCCCTGCCCCGGACCCTCCCACCTGTGGTGTCTTTGGTGAGGGTGGTGTGGGTGAAGAGCTGAGTTATCATTGAAAAACCTAAATTCAAGTCCGCTACACTGTGTACCAGGTGTGTGACCTTGGGCAAGTAATTGAACCTCTCTGAGTCTTTGTCCCTCATCTATGAAATGGGGTAGAATAATGATGCCTCACTGTCTCCCATGGTTGTGTTGGGGATCATGAGAGATAGTTGTGTTGAGGATCATGAGAGAAAGTGCTGGTCTGTCCAAGCACTTTGTTGGCTAGGAGGCACTGTACATATACTGGCTTTCATCCCCTGAGGGGGGTGCATGTTCCAAAAGTCAGGCACAGTTTCAACCTGACCATCAAAAAGGTATCTGAATCAATCGTTTTTTGAGGGCTCGTTATGTGCCAGGAAATTTGCTTAGAGGAATCAAGGAAGAAAATGGTAAGAGTTTTTTTTTTTTCCCCTTGAGTTATTAATCTTATTATGAAAGCAAGTGGTTAATTGAAAAAAACAGAATTCCAAATGTTGGCACAAGCATGGTGAGCTGTAGAGAACACTGTATTCCCGAAGAGGAGGAAGATGTCGTTACAGGCTGGCTGAGTCAGGTACTGCATTGGGAGGAGTAGAGATTTGGGAAAGATCTGAAAGAGGGGAGAGGCAGACATTCTGGGAAGGTGGAAAGCCTTGAGTAAAAGTGAGGGGAGAGATAGATTTGGAGATAGCAATGGCCCATGTGGCCACAAGGGAATGTTCACCCAGGGAGCAATGGGAGATTGGCTGGGGCCAGATGGAGGACATGGGGAGCCATCAAAGGTTCTGAGTGAGAGAATGGATGGGTAAAAATGCTCTTAGGAGGACTAAAATGAGGAACTATGCTCTGCTCCTAGTAAGTTACTAAATACATAAAGAAGGGATCTTACATTATCTTCCTCCTTTTTTTGCTTTCCTATTTTTTTAAGTATTCTCTACATGGGGCTTGAACTCACAACCCCCGAGATCAAGAGGTACAGGGGCATCTGGTGGTTCAGTGGGTTAAGCCTCTGCCTTCGGCTCAGGTCATGGTCTTGGGGTCCTGGCATTGAGTCCTGCTTCGGGCTCTCTGCTGAGTAGGGAGCCTGTTTCCCTCCTCTCTCTGCTTGCCTCTCTGCCTACTTGTGATCTCTCTCTGTCAAATAAATAAAATAAAATCTTAAAAAAAAAAAAAGAGTTACACGCTCCACCGACTGAGCGGGCCAGGCACCCCACTATTTTCGTCTTTCTTACCATGTTTTACTTCTTTGACTCTTCTAGACCAATTGACAATCCTTCTGAGTATAAGAAAATATTCGTAACAGTGCATTCCGGGTGGTGGGTTTCTTGGTAGTTGTTATGTTAACTGCTGTACTCTTTTGTAGTGTTGAATTTTTCTCAAGAAAACAAAGGGAGCTATTAAAATAACAAGGCATGAAATAAGGCAAAAAGTAGGGGGAACCACGAGAAAACATGGTGAAGGAAATGTCTTCAGGACATGGTTGACTGGACGTTGAGGGTGAAGGAGAGGGAGGTGTGTCGAGTGTCATTCCAGCCTAGGAAGCTGCAAAAATGAAACATCCTTCTACAGTTTCCCTCTGCCAGCCTGCAGGGGCTGCTGCTGGAAAGGGAAAACCGGGCTGCCGGAGAAGACCCAGCCTGGGCGGACTGGGGCTGCACCTTCCTCCCTGTGGTGTCAGAAGACCAAACATGGTGTCTGGACACATAGCAGGAGATCAGCAAATGTTTGCTGAATTAATGTTTAAGAACGAAGACAAATATACAGATAAGTGAGATGATTTTAAGAGGGAAAAAAACTTTTCTAAGTCAATGTAAGACTCTAGTTGTCCATAAGTTACTCTCCAGAACTTGTAGTTTAACTTGTTGACCCGATGCCCCTTAAAAATCTTTAAGGATCGGTAGAGAAAGTGTTAGGTTGAATGGGCTGGACATAGAAAAAACCTTCAAAAGAGATAGGAGTTAAATTTGCTAACTGCAGTTGGGAGCTTCATGTTGATTTCCAGACGGTCCTCTGCCTGGTTCATGAGTCTTTGAGCTGGAAGAGGTCAGGAAGAGCCTGCAGGTTCATTAAGAACAAGTTATAAAGTGTATGCATGTGTATGTCTGTATGTATGTGTATATATATTAAATTAGGGAAGCTATGAAAGAGTATGCCTGGATTTCACATGGAATTTTATAGTCTCTCCTGAAATTCTTCCATTAAAATGTTGACTGCCAGCTGAGATCGTAGAGGTCCGGGGAGCTGGTTAAATTTGTTCTCTCACAATGCCGGTGAGTGAGTCGGTGTTAACTTGGAGGAACAGATTCATGGTGTTCTCAGGGACTGTGAGCCAGCCTTGTCTTATCACCGTTTTTGCTGTTAGTTGACAGGAGGGATGTTAAGTTTGCAAGCGAAGCAAGTTGGGAACCAATGCACTGGAAACCAGAATGGGAATGAAAGAAAGCGTCTGTTTTCCAGCAGAAGCTGGAGGCCCAGAGTCTACTTAGATGACATTTAATAGGGTCAGCATCCATTTTTTGACCACATCCAGCGGTCAGAAAACCCCCTCTGCACGTTTAAGGAATGGAGGAGGTGCAGCCCACCTCAGAAGGACTTTGGGCTGACTGCACAGAGTGTGAGTCTACGGGGCCGTCAGTGCGACCTCGGGCCATCAGCCCCGTGCCACCCTGCACCCCTCAGAACTTTCCCGCAGCAGCTGGTTCTGTTCCATAGGTCAAAGCTTCTGAAACTGTTGACCAACGGCAGAACATGTAGCAGAGTATGAGCTGGTTAAGAGTTTCAACATACCGTATGAGAAGTATGTGAAAGATTGGGGATGCTTAGACTAGAGAAAAGCGCATGGAAGGGAGCATGAGGAACGGTGTCTCCGAGGTAGGTGTTCATATCCCCATATGGCAGGTGAAGAAAGCAAGGCCCAGTGGGGCTCCTCAATGGCCCAAGTGTCCACAGCTAAGGGCAGAGCTGGGATTTGCTATCAGATCAATCTGATGTGAAAGCCAGTGCATTTCCCACTTTGGCCTAGGGGCTGTGGTGGGACGTAAGGTGAGTCTGTGTGGTTCTCGAAGGCAGTGTCAGAAGCAGGGAGGCAAAGTGCCCAGAAGCTGTCTCTATGCCAAATAGTCTGTACAGGGAGGAGAGCTTGCCTTAGGAGGCCATGGGCTCCCTGTGGCTTGAGGTGTGTAGGAGGATCTTTGAGGACCACCCCCGGGACATGCCTGAGGGACTGGGCGTTCGGCAGCGGCCAGACCTACGTGTCTCAGGTTGGCCGTGGCCCTGTCATCTTTGCCCGCCAGGCCTCTGAGCGCTCGTCTGACCGGCCGTCTCTTCCCGCAGCATCTCATTAAGCTGAAGACACAAACGTCCACCGAGTACTTCCTGGAGGCCTGTTCCCGAGAAGAGAGGGATGCCTGGGCCTTCGAGATAACGGGGGCTATTCACGCGGGGCAGCCGGGGAAGGTCCAGCAGCTGCACATACTCAAAAACTCCTTCAAGCTGCCGCCTCACATCAGCCTGCAGTGAGTGCCCAGCCCCACGGCCCGCGCCCTGCCTGGCTTTGCTGCAGCCTCTAATGTCTGTGTGACACAGGGAATGGGCCCCTGGCTGCCGCACAGGCCTGTCTGGTACCAGCTGGTGCTTCAGGGCCTTAGGCCCTAGCTACCTGCCCCGCTCCTCTGACCTCCTGGGGCCTCTGCTGCTTCTGCCCACCTCAGTGTCTTGAGTTCCTCCCTTCAGTTTCAGCTAGGTTGTCCAGGGCCACGTCACAGTCCCCCAGGGACCACCACTCACCATGTCACCGGGCTTGTTGGCAGCTGAGCAGCAAGAGGGACATGTTCAGGTAGCAGGTGCATTCTTGCTCTGTGAGGTTCCTCATCTAGCTCCTCATTCAGGCAACAATTATAGAGTGCCAACTGCATGCCCTATACTGCCCTCGGTGCTCGGGAGATACAAACGGGAATACATCAGATCTCCTCTCAGGGCTTTCCAACTCAAGGCAGGGATCGTCTCACAGAACAGAAAGCAGGTCGTTGCCGGAGGCAGCGCTCTAAAATGTGGGGACGTATGAAAGGAGTCCCATCACAGAGACAGTTACCCCCACAGGCAGCACCCCCTAACCTCCCAGATAGCGGAACGGTTACACCCGTCAAAGACACAGGATGAGTCCCTTTCTGGACTCGCAGAGAGCTCCATGCCAGGTGCTGAAGTCTTGATTGTGCAGCAAGGGCGCTGCTAGACCATGGAGAGTGCGGAGGGAGGAGCAGCGCAGGCACGAGCAGGTTCGAGTGCTGTGTGACTTTGAGAAGTAGCTGGAGGAGGTCCCACTTTATGCAGTCATAGAGAATCATTGTTGTACACTTTACTACAAAAGTGTACCTGTCTCATATAGAAACATTAGAGCATGTAGACGAGCAGAAGAAAAGAAACATCTGAAAATCCTACCTCTCTAGTTCTGATGCATCACGGATGCATCCCCCATTGCTCTGTGATACATATCACACTGGTTGCCCCTTGTTTTGCACCCATGGCCCCTCCCCCATGGTGTCAGTGCAATGAGGGGTCCCTCTCCTTGCCTTCCTTCTGATTAGTCACATCGTGGACAAGATGCACGACAGCAGCAGTGGAATCCGGCCAAGCCCCAACATGGAGCAGGGAAGCACCTACAAAAAGACCTTCATAGGTGAGCCTCCCCCTTGGGGACTGGGGCAGGCGGTGGAAACTGGGAGCCTGGTGATCTGGGATTCAGTCATACTAGCTCTCCTGTGTTGAGGCCAGAGCTGCTGGCGGCCAACAAGCTGGTCTGAGATGGCCACATGTGGTTGTGGCCTTGGGTCTGCTCTTGGGTAGAGCCCAAGGCTGCCCAGGAGGTTAAAGTCAATGAGGTCACAGCCAAGCATCCCCAGGGAAGCCAGACTGTAGCCTGTTGTCTAACTGGTGCTGCCCTTGCCCCAATGCAGGCTCCTCCCTGGTGGACTGGCTTATCTCCAACAGCTTTTCTGCCAACCGTCTGGAAGCTGTGACCCTGGCCTCCATGCTCATGGAAGAGAACTTCCTGAGGCCGGTAGGTGTCCGAAGCATGGGAGCCATTCGCTCTGGAGACCTGGCCGAGCAGTTCCTGGATGACTCCACAGCCCTGTACACTTTTGTAAGTTAGGGAGGGAGTTCCTCTTGCCACTGGGGCAGAGAAAGGAGGAGGTAACAGAGTGAGCACCAGGGGTCCACAGTCATGGGCGAGAGGCCTAGGGTTTGGGGACCTCTTCCTCTCCAGGTGGAGTGAGGTTTTTGATCGAGGATTTTCCTTTCCCCTGTGGTAACCCCCAGAGCCTGGAACTGGGACTTTTTTGGTCACGGAGTCCTTGTTCTTTATTCCTGCTAGGCTGAGAGCTACAAGAAGAAGATAAGCTCCAAGGAAGAAATTAGTCTCAGCACTGTGGAGTTAAGTGGTACAGTGGTAAAACAAGGCTATCTGGCCAAGCAGGTATGCCTGCCTTGGAGAGGGAGGAGATGGGCAGGTGCCCCCACAGGGTGGGAAGGGCTGAGCATGCCGAGGACAGCTGCTCATTACCAGCAGAATCTGCTAAAGCGGGAGCCAAGGGCAGCTGCAGGCCACGAGTCAAGAGGCGCGAGAACATGCCCATTCTCTCTCTCTCTCACACACACGCACACACAGAGTCCCAAGGTTCAGGCGAAACATGCCCAGGAGTCACGATCACAGTCCCAAGAACCAGCGTCTGCCTCCGTACCCACTGCGAGCACTTGGCTGCGAGGGCGTTGCTTGCCGGGCTGGTGTCTGCATCTGCCGGTCTTCAGCTCCCTGACGCTTCCTGGGGTGTCTGCCTCTTTCCCTGTGAGGCTGCACACCTCCCTCATGCACTTTTCCAACAAAAAATAAGTCTTGTTCACCTACTTCACTAGGTTGAAGATGACATTCTGTAGTGTCATGTCAATGTTTAAAAACTGACCATGGTCACTACTGCCAACCACGTCTGGGGGAGTGTCCTTGTGACGGCACACCTGCGTGCGAGACGCACAGGCCAGCCTTGAACAGAATCACACGTGCCACCACGTGTAAACAGACCTTCTGCACGCCGCTCATGTTGGCGCACATCCCACACGCTGTGTGAAATGGCGAGTCTGTCCAATGGACACACGCTGCTCGGTGCCATTCCTGTGTTACTTGGGACACACATTGTCCTTGTCGCCTGCTTCTTGTACATCAGGATCCCCACCTGCTCTTAGATTACTTGCCACGAACGGGACAGCTTCTACCCCGAGGGCTGTGCTGCCCAGGCCCCATGGGAGTCTAGTGAGGGGAGGGAGCCAGTGCCTGGCCGGCCAGGAGGAGGGGGAGGGAGGGACTCTGGGGGCTCCAGGCTAGGGGGCTAAGGAAGCATGATCTTGGGGGTGACGCCAAAGAGAGCCCTACACATCAATATCTTATACATTAAGATTTTTAACATAGGATTGATCACTTCTTCCTTTTTCTGATGGAGAATGCTAAAGTGGATTTTAGTGTCCATGTGAGCACATATCTCCGTGAAGCTGTAGGTTTGCTTCTGACACTTAAAAGCTGGTGTCCTCGGGTTCCAGTTTTCCTGGGAGCTCTTAGTCCAGTGGACGCCTGCTGCCTCCCTGTCCTCTTTACACCCTGACTGGGGTCTGGATAGTGCTCCCCTTTCCTTTCAGTGTTGACCCTTTCTGGTTCTGTCAACTAACTGTGACAGTGTTCTTGCTTAAGAGTCTCGGAGCAGGGAGGTCCAGGTCACTGCAGTCCTCAGATCTCCAGGAGACCCCTTCCGGAAAGCAGTCCGTTGTGGCAAGTTGGCTTGGGCAGTAGATGCAAGGAAGTGGGAGGAAGGGTCAGGGCTGTCCCTGATGAGCCTTGAACCCTTTCTTTGCGTTAGGGGCACAAGAGGAAAAACTGGAAGGTGCGACGCTTTGTCCTGAGGAAGGATCCGGCTTTCCTGCATTACTATGACCCTTCCAAAGTGAGTGCTGCACGTTCACTTAACTACTGTGTGTGAGGCTTCAGACGCTTCTCTCCCGAGCCCAGCGGGAGCCAGCCCACTGACTGTGTCAGTGTCCCTCCCCGTACTTCTGCTGTGCCATGCCATTCCTTCCATGATCCAAGCTGTACTCAACGGTCTGATCGTTTCTTTCTTTCAGCACACTGTTGCCTGCGCAGAGGGTTATCATTATTTTCAGAGGAAAGCATCTTTTAGTTTCTCTAAAGCTTTTTGTGGGGCTGGGGAAGGTGGGGTGGCCTGTAAAGGAGACTCCTAACTGGTGCTCCCCAGTCTCTTTGCCCCTTTCTGTGTGGAGATCCCATGAATTCTGCCCCTCAAACTTTTGTTCCCACCAATGTAGTGGAAAGTTTCTTTTATTACATACTGTTTAAGCCATACTTTACTAATTTTGTTTTCTTTTTTCTAACCGATCAAAGAATTGCTACTCTTGAGTTTCAGATAGTAAGTATTGTTGTATGATGAGTTGATCTAATTCCAGTTAAAAGTAAAGATAAATGGCCTTTGAGCTGGCATGTCCAGCCTTGTCTTGATAGATGTGTGATTTTCATTTAGTTTTTGAAATACTGAAGAGTGGGCAGTTCCTCCCTCACCAAGCTTGTCAGGAATCCCCGCCCTAAGGCGAGCGCCTGAAAGAGTGAGAAGGAGCCCTCTGGGACCCAGCCAGATGGCAGGGAGGGCTGAGGGCCAGGGTGGAGTGTGGCCCTGCGACTGCTGGCAGTGATGCCAGACTTCCTTATGGTGCACGTAGGTGGCCATGTGATGTCCAAATTCGGTCTCCTCGGTTACAGATGACTCACTTTGTTAGCTGGCCTGAGGGTGGTTTCAGGCAAGATGGCAACTCCTTTCTCCTTTTTCCCTTTTGTGCATTCACACTATGCCTCATCAGGAATTCTTTCTGCTACAGGAGGAGAACCGGCCAGTAGGTGGGTTTTCTCTTCGTGGTTCACTCGTGTCTGCTCTGGAGGATAATGGCGTTCCCACTGGTAAGGCACAAGTCTGTGCAGGCCTGTAGGCCCTGGGATGCTCCTGGCTCCGCTCAGTGGCGCTCTTCTGATGGACTGAGTGACGGGGGCTGAGTAGGTCTCAGTGAGATGATGAATAGTGTGAGTTTTAGAGCCAATTTCAGAATGAGGGAAAAGGGCATGTGGGGTCTTTTCAGTGTCTTAACAACACAACTAAATAATCCTTCTCTGGTGTTCTTTCCCCTCAGTTTCTGTGCTTACTGGCAGATAAGCTTCCACCTAAGAATGGTAGCCTACCCAGTGTTTAAGGGTCAGCAACACACTTTAATATCAGTTAGCATACTAACTTCACAATAGCCTGCTAAGAAAGATGGTATTATTCCCATTTTATGGATGTGGAAATTGAGGTTCAAAGAAGCTAAACAAGTTTAAGTCCCAAATCTGTGCCTACTTTTAACATAAACATCCTGGATTCTTGGATGTGAATGGAACTGTAGATTGTAGGTAGCAGGTCAAGAGGGTGCAGGGGAGGGATGGGGAGTAGAAAGGAGGGAAAAAGGAAAGCGGGCATCTGGTGGGATTCCCTAACTCCGTACATTGGTATTTAGTAAATACTTCATTATGTGTATTTTTTTTTTTTTTTTGTGGCTCAGTTGACTTCTAGCTGAAAGCAGACACAGATACTCACTAATTTTTCTTCTGCCTAGGGGTTAAAGGAAATGTCCAGGGGAATCTCTTCAAAGTGATTACCAAGGATGACACGCATTATTATATCCAGGCCAGCAGTAAGGCTGAGCGAGCTGAGTGGATTGAAGCTATCAAAAAGCTAACGTGACAATGTGTTCCCGAAGGAACAGGACAGGATTCCTCCCTCCTATCAGATGGTACAGGCAAGATTTCTTGGAGAAGGGGAGAGTGTTAAGACTTTTAGCTTCTTTGTATATTTTATACGGCCTTGCAGTGAGACTGGAGTTCCTTCGATCGCAATTGGCAGTGGTGCTGTTTCCTTCCCCACCTTCCTGTTAATAGCCTGGAAATGCTAGAACTGCCATTAGCCCGCAGCATCTTGACTTTCACCCATCCTCATGACTAGCCATTCCTCCCGCACCAAAGCAGGTTTCCTGGTTTTAACACTAACTAGCCATATTGTAATACTAAATTAAACACTAGTCTCATGCTGGCTGTCTCTGAAATGCTGTCCAAAACTAACTCCTTCTCTGGAATTAATAAAAACTGACACGTTTCTAGAATTCCTGTATAAAGTTTTATAGTTTTCAAACGTTTTTCAGGCTTGGTGCTGTACCAATTATTATGCAAGATTATGAAAACATCTCAAGTGATCTTTGTCTCTAAGACCTGCTTCATCTTAAAATCAGAATTTTGAACATTGTGTTGAAGAATAAGCCTGCCTAAGCATATACACTGCAGAAATCATGGACTCAGTTGGAGAGATTAGTCACACATACAACAAAGAGTAAAATTATAGCATTTCTATGAAAAATGGCAATTCAGGAAGAGATGCAGAGCAGGAGCTGCTTAAGGACAGAGAAAGACGTAAACGGGAAAAGAATTAAGGAACGAAATTTTGGTTTACATTAACTGAGACATACAGGTACCAAGAAGCTTCACCAGTTGGGAGGTTAATCTGAAGTAGTGAAAAGTCTGTATCATACAAGATCTTTAAAAACATTTTTATTACTTTAAAGTTTATACAGTAATCTGGCACAAGCTACTGCCAGCATTCTTGCCAAGTACAAGTGCTTAGACTTTCTTTAATGAATAGATATGTAACTTATATTTAAGGGGAGTAGATACTTCCAAAGTGCTTAAGGAAAAAATTTTCCTTTTAGATAGCGTGAACTGTCTCCTCTTAATCTTGTCTAGAATACCTGACCCGAATGATCAGGAATTCCAAGCCAATGAGTTTTTATTTTATTCCTTACATTGTAAGAGACTACCTTTTAAAGCACCATTTTCCATTTGGCATTTCATCAAAGTCTAATGTCCCTGGAATTAGTTTTTTTCTTTTTATTGCTCTCCGAATATCAACAGGTGTTTATCTAAATTAAACTGCATTTGATTTGATGGCTTGACTCCAAATTGGCACAACTGCACCCTGTTCTGTATAGGGGTATCAGAATCTTCGTGTGTTGAAAAAGTAGACGGCCATTACCTTGAGGCAACTCTTGCCGAAGTCCTAGTACTTGAATTTTTAAAAATCCCGAACCATTTTAAAGGTTCTTCACACAAAAGTAGCTGCGTCAAGTGTTTGAAAGGATGGCAGCTGAGTAGTAACTGTAATGCCTACCTAGCATGTCTCTATAGGTTCTCACTAAATGAGCCTTATCCAGGTACATACTGGTTGTCTTGTTTTGCTACAAAACACAGCAAAAGAAAATGTTCGTATGCTCCCATTTTTTTTCAGCTACTTTTGACTTTCCATTACAATTAAGTGTGACCCGAACTATTGTGGATTTTCAGGTGTATGAGTTGATAGCCACTTTAACTCACAGGCAGAATGGGGAGATGAACTTGTCAATTTTTAATGAAAAGTCTTTGAATGGTAATGCAAGATTTGGATAAACTGGTCAATTGTCTTTATCTGTTCCTCAGGTTATTTGGAGTTGGGTGTGTAGCTTGTCCTCATATTTGAAAGTGATATTGTTAGGTCAGCAGGTATGTGTGCTTTAAGTTTGATTAGTTCTCTCCTTCATTGGTGTCAGTGAGGTATTAATCTTTTCTCTGGGAAAGGTCATAAATTTTGCAAAACTGTTGTGGAACTGAGCAAAAGGCTTGGATGGGATAAAAATCACTCACTGTGGAGGTCACCAGTATTTCTCAAGGGTTATGCCTTAAAGTGTAAAAAATTCAGTAAACAACATGGAAATTTAATTCCTTGCCTACAACAAACATTTAAGGAGCACCTGTTGTTATTTTGAGGACATTCTTGATGCCACAAGCTTTATAGACTTGTTTTAACTCCTCAGAAAGACCAAAGTGAAAATCATGTGCCAATTTTGAGTACACCTAGATCCTCCTCTAAATATTCCCAGTATGGCATGTACTAGCAATTATGGCTACCCTGTGGCAACAGCCATATGAAGTTTTACTTTTGGATTTAAAAAGCTAAGTAGAGGCTGCTAAATTAAACAGGGACAAGCCAAAAATGGCATAAACTGTCTCACCAACACACTTCTATTTTCCAGTCCCTTTAATATTCAATTAAGTCTAGTACTCAATCAATTAAGGTGGGTTAGGTTTAATCTTTTAAGTATTTAAATAGCTATTCTTAGGAATAATCAATAAAATAAATCTAGTACCTCAAGTTTCCTAAGAGATTCAATCTATAAAACATACCCAAAGTAACTCAAGACTTTCTACACCCTGGCTAATGTAGCTGTAACTTCAAACCATGTATTATCTATGAAAATTATTTACCTTATTTATTTACTTTTAGATTCATATACCTTTTAAACAATTAGCTCTTAAACATAAAAATGATGGAAATGTAGAAAAATCACTCTAATTGTGTTGAATCAGATCCCTATTCATTATAAAGAGCTGAAGCTCTAGGTGGCACCTAGTGAATATGTTAATGGAAAAGAAATCAGAAGTTGGGCAATGATACTCAAAATGACTAAAGAAGCAGCATCTTTAAAAATAAAACAGAACAAAAAATTTTACCACCCTGAATTACAAACTCAGGGCAAGCAGCTTAGTAGACCAACAAGGACCAGTGTGATAAAATTCTCCCTCATACCATATATTGTCCCCAGTCTCAAGTTGGTAAAAGGCACACATCCTATGTAATTTTAAAATTTGCATTTTAAGGCTTTTTTCCCCTAAGAGTCAACTTTAACTGTGGTTTAAATTACTTTCTCTACACCCTCCTTTTGAAAGGATCCGCTGTATAGATCCTTTGGTCACCTGCCCTTATATTTCTCATCTAGACTAAAACGAAAGTAATAGAATTAGGGTCTTTGTAATCATAATGCTTTTTAACTGGTGACAAGAAGGAAGAAGCCTATAGTTAAATATCCCAGAAATTTATTTAATTTTTGCTTGATACATTTTATGTAGAAAGGTTGAGGCTATTTGCTTTGGGTGCCCCTGATAAATCTCAGGGAGGCACTGAACTACAAAGGGGTGCCAATCTGGAGACATCAGAAATGGAAACCACAAGCCCAATTTTATGACTGTTAAAGATTTGTCTCTAGTGAAGTTAGGCCCACTCGCTTAAACTGCTGAATGTTGGAGCTCCTGTGTGAAAACAGCTGACTTTTAGGAGGGCATGTCATGTTTTGGTCTGTTGGAACATTTAAATAATTGGAAATAAAAAATATTCAGCTTTGAAGTTTTCAATACTGGAAAACTTTCAAGTCTAGGGTTTACAGCCAGGAAGGGCTGCTTTGTGTTCCTTAAAATGGACTGTTTCCCACAAAGTTAATCTTCGGCTTTGGCTTCCATTTCTTCTGCATCATCGTCTCCATCCACTTCTGCGTTCTCTCTTTCAAGCCTCTCAAGCTGCCTTGCAAGTTCGGTCTCATCTGTATCTGTGACCACTTTAGGCTGTGGAAACAGAGGCATAATTTCAAAGTGAGGCAGTTCAACAGTATACAAATTCCATTTCAACACTATTACTGCCTAGTATTTTAATAACTTTTTTTTTAATTTAAAGATTTTATTTATCTATTTGACAGAGATCACAAGTAGGCAGAGAGGCTGGCAGAGAGAGGGGGAGGAAGCAGGCTCCCTGCTGAGCAGAGAGCCCAATGCGGGGCTTGGTCCCATTTAATAACTCTTAAAGAAACACTTGTCCTTCTAACAACTCTGCCATATGTGTTCATTTCTGAGTGCTACTGTATCAATAAATTCCATTAGGTAAGTAATGGGAGAAATGTGTAAGAGTAACACAATATAGGAAAAAAAATACGTGTGTAGTAAAACAGTATATTTTTGTTATTTCTATAAACCAAAACTCAAAAAATATGAAAATAATCTCAGTGGCTCTATCTTTCAAACCCACAAGATGTCTTCTAAAAATGCATCTTCTGGATTCAAAATAAATTATCATTTCTTTCCAAATGGTTTCATTTTTGTTGAGATGAGGAAAATACAGACTAATGTTGTTTCTAATCCTGAGATCAAATTTCAAGCCTGCCAATTCAGTTCTGACAGTAACTGATCACTCATTTTTGTTAGCTATTTTTTTCTCTTTGGCAGGGGGATAAACCTAACACCATCAGTGCCACTAGTCCTGAATAACCACTGCATGACAGTTCTCATTGACTTATAAAAAGCCCTTTTAGGACCCTCTGAGTCAATGATTATTTTAGGCTTAGAATTATAATCTTACATGTATCTTTTTGAAAGGCAGTGATTAAAGTATTTTAGAATGCAAATCTAAAGATGATTTAAATTTATCTATCTAAAATTATCTATCTATCTATCTAAAGTAATCTCTAATCCCAACATGGGGTTTGAACTCACAACCCTGAGATCAAGAGTTGCATGCTCTACCGACAGAGCCAGGCACGTGCCCCTAAATTTCTTATAAATATTTTAAGGAAAAGGAAGACACACTATAGATCTTACCTCCATTTGAACATTGAAGACACCCCTCTTTTCCTCAATCTTTTCTTTAATAACAGCCATAGCTTGATTGAGAACAGAGAGGCCTTCTGTTCTCTCCAGAGTTGTTGTAGTCATCACATATCGAGGAGGAGCTATTAGATTAATCTAAGGAAGAAGACAAAAATTTAATTATGGACATACCGACACAACACAAAACTATTACGATGTTTACGAACTCTTTTGTGCTCTGCTGCCTTAACAAATCACCCCAAAACTTAATTTCCAATCCTGTAAGTCAGCAATTTGGGGGTGTTCTGTTAAGGTAGCAAAAGCTAATTGATACAGTGATGAAATCCGGTATCAACAGTCCACTGCAATGTCAAATACGTAGAATTACGACTTCCAGGTGTCTTTGGTAGCTAAAATAACTGTAGCCATCATCAGCATAATGGATAATTTGCTTCTAAAACAGACAAAAATTCTTATTTCGTTCTAAACTAAACTGATGGAACAAAATCCAAGAGATTCTGAATAACAACCATCTGGTTAATGATACAACTTAAAAGATTCAGATCAAACTCCTAAAAGATGTGTGTGAATAC